CCAGTTTAGGTTTTCCAGTCATTTGTCATTCCTCACTAGTGATGGGCAGATGAAGCTTCATGAAGCACTGAAGCTCTTAATCCAATTGCTTCACCCCAGCGCGAAGCTTCATGTGCTCTAGTAGGACACCTAAATCAAATCAAATCAAATCAAATCACTTTTATTGTCACATCACATGTGCAGGCACACTGGCACAGCACATGCGAGTGAAATTCTTGTGTGCGAGCCCCACAAGCAACAGAGATGTGCAAAACACAACAACACAAACGAGCAAAATACAAGAATGGCCAACCTGAAACTAATAAATATATGTACAATATATAATAGTGTATTTCTACTGGACGTAGAAATATTAATTTGAAGAGTGTGGCATTTTGCACACAGCCTGTAAATGTCAACAACAAAAGGAGTGTGTAAAACATGTATATTGTAGTGATGGCAGTATACTGTGTATATTTATAGTGGCAGTATGGAAATGATTATTTGGAAATGCTTGAAATGGAAATGATCATTTACTGTGAGGTGAGGTGTGGTTGGGGTGTGGACAGTAGTTGTGCTTTTGTAACGTTGAGGTATGGACAGCTACACACTGAGGCTTTGAGCCTCAGTCCTGCCTGTTCACATTTTATTCTGTAAAAACTAAATTTTCACTGCTTTTATGACCTTTTTAGTGGGGAGAACATAGCTAGGATTTAATGATTTAACAAATCTTTTGAATCCTTTGTCCTCCACAATGCTAAATGGCTGGGAGTCCTCAATCACCATGCTGACCAGGTCTTCATCTATTTGAGATTGTTCTCCTGAGGAAAGACAATAAAGATAAAGCACAAATATAAATATCACACACGTAACTTATAACAGTTGTATAATATTGTTATATCATTTAGTAACATTACTGCATGCTATATTATCATTGCATTTGATGGCTCACCTGGTCTTGCTCCACAATCGGTGTTCCCCTTATTCTCATGCAAAGCTCTGTAGTGCCTAAGCATGGATGAGGTGTTGTTGTTATATCCCAGCTCCCTGGCACATAGCAAACACTTCACCTTGTACAAAAGTCAGACAGCTCAACATAAATTGTATTGCACCATCAGTATTATGAAAATACATCTTCTGTAGAAATTTACATACCTTGTTGGGAGGAATAAGATCAAAATGTTCCCACACAGGGGAGGACATCCTCCTCTTCTTAGCTGGCTCCATTCTCTCCTGACTTTCTCTCCTCACTCTCATAAACCTCCAAACTGTCTCCAAACTCTCACTAACCGCAACTCTCCATCAAACACCCACATTTTGAATGAAGTCTGAGGGGTTTATATCGCTGCTACTCGCGGCAAAGTTCGAACCGCTTCATGAACCAGTCACGTGGTACAGCCGGGCAGCGAGGCTTCGGACGTCATCATTTTCAGCTCCTCCCATAAATGAAGCAAGCCTCGATACGCGCATCGCGGAAACGCCCCCTCCATTACTCGACACAAGCTTCGAAGCCTCGATACAGAACGTCACATCACTATCTCACTGCCTGTTCCTCACTCTATTACTTGTAAATAAACGTCACTTGCACTATCAGTCAACTGCCTGCATTAGGGTCCTTTTACCTCACCAACACCACACGGCTCTCCTCGACAGCTGTGACAGTTTCGTTTTTTTGCACCTTTACATTTTAATCCAGAGTTGGGATGTGAAGAAACAGGAGTGGGTATACTCACACGCCCCTGATTTTCAATAGGAATAGAAATGTTTATCAAAGTAAAATAATAAAGCTGATAATGGTAAATCTATGTTCCGTTTATGTAGAAAAAGAAGCGTGCATTTTATTTGAAAGAAAAAACACATACATGCAGTGGAAGCCCAGATGTCAGTTTTACCCTGGGACTTGAACGCATCTTACATATGTGGCTCTGTGGGAAGCTGGCAGCGTTACATTTGTCTCAAACCCCACATGGGTGTGAGAAGTGATCCGAGCAGTGATTCGCACACACATATTTAACCTCCTAAGACCCGAACTCTTCCACAGCATCTTTTAATTTCTCTTTGATATTTGGGCATATTGGGGCCCGATGAATGTAAAAACAAAGAATTACCAGATTTTTTTTTTTTTACCTTATTTTTGTTTTTAAGAAAAATAAGAGCCACATATGAGGATATTCATTTAAAATTTTGATAGAACAGTAGCAGTATAATGTCCTCGTAAGTGGCTATCAGGCCCACTTACTCTAAATAACCCAAAATTTGATGTCCACATATGTGGACGCAGGGTCCTAGGAGGATAAGCTTTTGTGGGCAAGAGTGATGTCGTGTGTACTTTTAGATATTTGTACGCTCAGAAAGGTTTTCAAAAGGTAAAATTTTCAAATTCAGGAAGCTGAACTTAGTAAACTGTGCTTAAACGATCAGTAATTATTTGGCTTTTGCACATTTGTAAAATAGTTTTACGTGGTGGTCAGATTGCCTCGTATATGTGTGTGGATTGAAGCACCTGCGTGTGGGTCCTCAAAATTTACACGCAAATCATTGCACACATTTGTAAACTTTGTTTACATGTGGATTTTGTCTCATGCTTTGCAACACTTTTTTGACGCTGTTTAGAGACCAAATATAAAGAAGCAGACAAAGTCACAACATCAGAACAATTTGAACTTTTGCCGTAGTTAAAGTGTGCTTTAAATCAGCATCACTGATTTGTGTCATTAAATTACCTCTTCATCATCAACAAGCAGAAACGCCTCTGTGTGAGGTCACTGTCTCTTTAAGACATCAACAATACTGGCCGCTTTTCACTCTCTCCAGTTGGCAAATATAACATTAGAAAAAAATATCAAAATAATAGTAAAATACATCATCAGTACTAGTATTACTGTAGTTATTTTTAGGGGTGCTGTGATGAAATTTAGGGTCTACTACGCCTTAAGGTGGAATTCTGAGTATCTCTGCAATCACCAAAGGCTTGGGTGAAAAATGGTTGTGTTCAAAGAGTTCTACTTTGCTGACTGAAGAAGTGAATGGGGGAGTGGGGGAGGGTGGGAGAGAGAGGGTCTCATACTAGCCCCAAACACACAACAGTTAGCTGCTATAAAACATTATTTCTCAAGTTGACAGTTGAAAAACAGGGTTGTTGTTTTTTTTTACCATTTTAACAAAAGTACAACGCTTTAAAGCATAACATAGAAAGGTCACATGGAGTTTGATCATCTGTGCTATTTTAAATCAGCAGTCGTAATGGCAACAAGAAAACCACAAAGCAGTATATGTAGCCTTGCATGCAGAAGGAAGTTGATTTAACTGCTGTGTCTGCGCTCAGTCAAGATGAACCCAGCATCTCTTCAGCAGCTGCTCTGTAAGTTCAATCTTTCACTTCCAAATGCAGTTAACTGTTTTTATAGTATATCAGCTGAGTTATACAAGGGTGGTGACATATGTTGTGAGACAGAGTACTGTGCAAAAGTCTTGAGCCACAGTTTTAAGCGTTAAGCTATTTAACACTGACTTATGAATCACAGATGAACCAGTGTTGTTTGTACATAAAACCGAGAAATCAGGAAAGAACATATTTTAAAGTGTGTATTTTTAATTTGTATCTTGAGGAATTAAGGCTTAAAATTATAAACATTATTACAGGTGTGGCCTGTTTAATTGACAGGCAGATGTTGACACAGGGGGCTGTACCTGCTAGCTGTCTGCTACTGTTCACCTCAGCAATCCCAGAAGTGGGAAACTGAACCTATTTTATTTGTCTGTTACTGACACTGATTAGCAGCTGTCTGTGTCTCTGTGATACATTCATGCAGTTTATGGATATAGTTTTAAAAACAAAAACAGACAAACGAACAGCTAGAAAAAGCCCACAGCAGAAGCTAAAAGTCCCCTAAAGGGGAGACGTGCTACCAGAAGGAGCTTTGCTGTAATGTGAACCAGCTGAAAACTCAGATTGACTGATATCATTTCTCTTTAGGTCTGAACTTACTGCTGTGCTGCACAACAAACCAAGGTCAGTGACCTCATCGTGATCATCCAAAACATCTCAAAGAGTCTTAAATAGAGATTTTCTGCATCTTATTTTTAATGCTGTCTGCCACGTATAAACTTTCAATAAAGCTTGTCTCTAAAAACTGAGGCATTAAATCCAAAACCACCTTTTTTGGTGTTTTTAATAACATTAATTATAACTGTGCATCTGAGAGCACTGAACCTGGACCAGCCAGGATCTGACTGCATACTTGACTACTGTCTTTACTATCAGCATTAGTACCTAATTATTAAATGTAAAGTGAGGAATACTGAAGACATGTGATGCAATTCTGCAATATATGTTTTATTTTGGGTGGCTATGTTACTGTTGTTGAAACAGTAAAAGATTATGAAACTCAGTTGGTCATTCTCTTTTGAAAATTGATTCACATCATATCCTTTCCTGGCAGCTCGTCTGACTGTGAGTCCCAGCAGCTCTCAGTTCTTTAAAGACGACTTTGTGTCTCTGAGCTGTGAGGAGGACGACAGCTCTGCTGGATGGACTCTGAGGAGAAACACAAGCAAACAACAGAGGACTCAGTGTGGAGATGGGTGGGGAAAACCAGCTGGTTCTTCCTGTAACATCAGCTACATCGACCCATTGGACAGTGGAGTTTACTGGTGTGAGTCCAGAGAGGGTCCCATCAGTAACATGGTTAACCTGACAGTCACTGGTAAGCTGAGTGTGTGGAGTTAGTGTTGATGAAGCTGTGTGTAAATGGATGAAATGCTGTAGTTTGTCTCTGTGTTGAGGTGGATCAGTGATCCTGCAGAGTCCTGTCCTCCCTGTGATGGAGGGAGATGACGTCACTCTGCTCTGTAAAACAAAGACCACTCCCTCCAACCTCCCAGCTGCTTTCTATAAAGATGGCTCCCTCATCAGGAAGCAGCCTACAGGTCACATGACCATCCAGCATGTTTCCAGGTCTGATGAAGGCCTCTACAAGTGTGACATCAGCGGTCATGGAGAGTCTCCATCCAGCTGGATCACTGTCACAGGTGACACACTCACCTGTCTGTGTTTCTGCAGCTTTCAACATTCACAATGTGACGACAACTTAATGACTGTGTTTGCTTAATTTTAGGGGAAGACACCACCACACCTCCACCTACATCCACACCTCCACCTACATCCACACCTCCTCTTACCAATGTGTTGTTGTTTGTTGGAACAGTCTGTGTTCTGGTTCTACTGGTTTCTCTGGTGGTTCTGCTGGTGACACAACGTGTTTACAGGAAACGTGAAGGTGAGATTCAGACTGTGGGGGCGTGGAGGTGGGGGTGGGGGGTTGATGCATGAATGCTTCATGATCTAACAAAATACAATCCGTTAAATTCAGTTGTTACTTCAAACTATGGTGTGATGGTCTGTCCAACATTACATTACATTGCATTGTGGAGCAGCCATCTGTCACTGTCAGTTGGGGGTGTGAAGGGAGAGAAACCAGAAAAAAGCCATTCTATGGAAGAGAGCGAGAGATTAATAATAATGAATGATTTAAATCAGAGAGGTACATAAACGCATTCTAAGTAAAGGAGAAACACTCGTGAAAATCCCCCAGCAGTCTACACCTATTGCAGCATAACTGAAGGAGGATTCAGGGTCACCTGATCCAGCCCAACTATATGCTTTCTCAAAAAGGAAAATTTAAAAATAGAGATGGCGTCTGGCTCCAAAATCCAAACTGGAAGCTGGTTCCATAGAAGAGGGGCCTGAAAACTGAAGGCTCTGCCTCCCATTCTACTTTTAAATACTCTAGGAACAACAAGTTCCAGCCTGAGAGCGATGAGCTCTATTGGAACGATGGTACTAAGAGGTCTTTAAGATAAGATGCAGAACTTGCTATATCCAGTCTTTTCTTGCAAAGGCAGGCAAGCCCTTATTCACCAAGGGTTTCATGTGTTAAAGCTTTTATAAAGTCAGGTGTGTTGTGACTTTTAAACCACATCTGGGCCTTTGAACATTCCAGCAGTGCACAAAGGGGAAAATAAAGCAGCCTAGAAGAGGCTGAACAAGTTGTTAGAAAGACTGAACAGACAAAAGATCATTAAATGTCATTACCTGTAGCTCAAACTGACCTTCAATCATTTTGACCACTTTAAAGTTCTGTGTAAGACCACAGCACCTCTTCCCTCTTGTTGTTTCCAGTTAACTGTAGTCTGACACTGATCGGAATTTGCACTGCTACAAACGGGACAGACATGACTGTCCTGTTTGTAGCAACTGAAAATAAAATAAATTCATAATTATAATAAAGGTCAATCAAATGGACCAATATGGCAAGGCCATGATGATCCACTTGGTAAAATAAATCCG